ACATAAAAATACTTGTAATTATTCACCAGGACAGAGATTTAGAATACTTAAATATTTCTATGGCATATTGATCTAGGTACAGCTGGTTAATGTAAGAGAATAGTGCACAGTCAACTGATTTGCTCATGGCTCCATCAGTCATGGATGTAAGACTTTTCATAACCTGTGTCAGAATGTTATCATAAATTTGGCAAATTCTGCAAGACCAGAACAAATTGGAAGAGGTACTGGAGTCAAGTTTTTTATATTCTGTATTTGCAAACTACTAAATTGCAGGCAGACTGTAAAATGTGCCTTTGTACTGCAGCATTATAAATGTTTACTTTGTCTCCCATTTATAGGTGCTTTACTCAAGTAGCTAAGTGACAAATCTGAACAATGCACCAACCTCCAGTTTTATACAGCTCTGCTGAATATGTGTTTTCAGCAGAACTACTATGAATCTGAAAAATCCACCACCGCTTTCTGTGTCTCCTGGATTCTCCACTAAGGAATTACAGTTTTATATTGTTGAAACTACTGATTTTAGTAGAGTTACCATTTGTCTAATAGTGGAATAAAATTGCAGAGGATGGCAGGTATCTGCTGAGAGGCCTGGAATAAACATATTGTTTAATATTCAAACTAGCTGGGAATCAATGACAGGGAAGGAGATGGTGTAAGGAAGAGGTTTAAAAATAAAACTAAACCTACCCAGGAGTGAGGAATTAGAAGCCCCAGCATGAACATCATTGTTCTTGTGAACACCACCAGGAAGACTTAAACCTGTCAACCTCAGGACCTGAAGGCACACTGGAAAGGTGACCATACCATCAGAAAGGTGAGGCTCTTCTTTATTAAGCAGATGATTTGGTGGACTGTTAGTATATTTACTCAGCTAACAGTAAATTCTTGGCACTATCTGTATGTATGGTACACCAGATTGTGAGTATAACAGAAACAAATTAGTGGACAATGTGGGCAAACCAAATCCAACCCCTTTCTAGACGTGTGCACTCTGCTCCTAGAAACATCCATCCTGCTCTCCTTTTTAGCACAAACAGCTGAGCTGAGGGAATAGCATATTCAGCAGGGACGTCATCTTTGAGGTATAGAATCTTGCAAATCAGTCAGCTCCAGCAGTAGCAACTGCCTGCTATGAGTGGATGTGTAACACTGTATGAGCTTTAAAAGGAAGACCGGGACTTTCAAGGTCGTATCAATTAAATGATGGCAAGCCAAAAGAAAGCAGAGGTACATTAGAAGCAGAAGACGTTGTCAGGCTCTGTTCCAAGTTTTGTGCACGGCAGAGGTGGGCAAGCCTTGAGCTAGGAGCAGGGTGCATTTAAGGAGCTGTAGGGGATGTCTTGAACACAAAAACGCGTTTAGTTTTAGGGCCTATAGACACTGGCACAGTATGGAATAAGATAGCAACCCATATGAGGGGAAGTGATTTAGGGGACACTAAAAAGAGTTCATGAGAGAGTATGACTTGTAAAAAGTGTTACTTTCATTGGCATTTACTCTCAAATATCCTTTTTTATCAAAAGGGGAAAGGGACTGACAAAGTAAAAAGAAGCAGAAAAGTAGTCCATGAACTTGTGCAGTGGTAGGAGATAATGTAGTAAGGAAATAGTCAGACCTAGCACAAACACACACACACGGAAACAACATGACAAAGCTGGGGAAGAAATGCAGTACTGCAACAGTATTTTCAGTAAGTCCCCTACCAGATCACTAACTGAATACTGGCATAAGGAAAAAGGCAATTGGCTGCTTAAGCCTCTTTACAGACGCCAAAGCACGACCTATCATTGAGGGTGACCTGCTGTCCTGGTGGAACTATGGGACAAGTGGAAAATGAAGAGCCTGGATGTTGCCCAAGAAGATAATACAATGCAAAAAGACTGAATACCTGGCACAAGCTGTCATCTGTGCAGTGCAGAAGGCTATTCTGATTAAGCTGGCAGAGGAAGAGAATGAAGCTCTAACAAACAAAGAAGCTGAATATTCAAGCAGGAGAAACCAGAACTGCTGTGAGAAGCATGACTGCTGATGCATGATGACCTGCTGCAGGAACTGATTGCACAAATGGGAGAAATATCTGCACCGACTGGCTGGTTAAACTAAAATCAGACTGCCCAGTGATATCAACCACTTCCTGAGTAGGATTAGGTGACTGAATCCAACATCCAGGGAGAATTCTGAGAGATAACAAAAGGTTCAAAGAGATAGCAAAATGGAAGGGTGTTTGAGGAACACTGAGAGTCATCAGCCCTTAAACTATTCTAATGGAACTGGGGTCACATTGACTTGGAAAACGAAAAGCTACCTGTATAATACATGATTATAATTAGTACCTGAAGGTGAAAAATTATGTGTAATTGTAAAGATTGCTACTTGAATTAAAATGTTTAACTCTTTGTTACAAAGGAGAGATAGAATCAAAGCAAAACCAGATGGAGGTTTGCTAAAGTTATCTAATAATAGAAAGTCCTCTAAGTGCTCTAAGAAGAAAAGGTGAATCACAGAGGTATAAAACTATTTCCTATGGAAAACAGTATTGCATACCATACAATCACATATGGGAATGGACTGCATACATTTAAGTGTAGCTTATTGGGACTGTGAAGACTGAACCTTCATTTATTGTTCTGGGGGTATTTTAAGACATGTAAAAAATGGTGGAAATCAGGGTCCCTAAACTGATAAGGTATCAAAATGTTACTTATAATACATAACCTTGCATGATTATTCAACTAGAGCTAATCAGGTAACTTTGGAGATCTACAGCTATCACACTTGAGAGATATGCATTGATGAAGATGGATTATTGAACATGATAGGTGTTTTTCATGGTCTCTTTAGGCAGATTCCAGAAAAACAACAGCTCAAGACATGCATTATATATGTAAGAATATTATCATCCTCTCAGTACTTTAAAGGGACCTATAAGAAAGATGGGTAGAGACTTTTTAGCAGGGCCTGCTGCAACAGGACAAGGAGTGATGGTTTTAAACTAAAAGAGGAGAGATTCAGACTGGACTTGAGGAAGAAATAGTTTACAATGAGGGTGGTAAAATACTGGCACAGGTTGCCCAGAGAGGTGGTGGATGCGCCATCCCTGGAAACATTCAAGGCCAGGCTGGATGTGGTTCTGAGCAACTTGATCTAGTTGAAGATATCTCTGCTTGTTGCAAGACTATTCTGTGATTATGAAATTGCTCCAATCATTGTGCTACTCTCTATGTAGAATTCAGTTATGTTCATATACATTCAGAAATCACTGTGGACTATCTTACAGTGTGTAACATGCCCAGTGACAGGCACATATGCAATGCAAAGATGCAAATTACACCAATGCCTTAAAGGTAAGACTGTGGTCTCTGACGAAACCTGAACTTAGCTTAACAGCCTACTGTTGTAATTTTAGTTGTTATACTAGCTTCAGTGATTGTACAATGGTTATACTTCATTATACCCTCAGACCCTTAAGTGTCACAAAAGACCATGCAGGATAAAATTGTAAATTTCAAGAGCATTCATTAACTCCTGTTAAGAAGCCTTGAGTCACAGGAGAGTTTGTAACATCTTTGCTGGAGCTGTGTAACGATTAGCCTATGTTTAGCAGACCATCTATCAAAGTGGGGAATTTTAGCCTGGTACATGTGATTTTTTGCCACTGCCATTGCTTGCCTAGTGCCTGAGTGACTATTGCTAACCCCATCTGAGCCTGTGTCTGCGAGTGCTGCTGGGGGAAAAGATCTGACAGCCCCAAGCATTTCCTGCATGGCCAACAGCATCCTTAATGTCAACTGCATCTGGGAGAGACTGTTGTGCAGTTGTCAGACTTCAGCTGGGTACCTCAAAATTGAGGAGGGTGACATCCCCCATGAACATCAGGCTGTGTGTGACCTCACAAGGCCAGTGCCTTATCATAGCACATATGACCTCACCTGCCTAAGGAAGACTTAAAACTATCAGCCTCAGGACCTAGAGGCACATTGGAAAGAGGGGAATGTCAAGAGAAAATATGTAGGTGCTAGAAAGTTTTCTGTATAACAAGTTAAATTGCACTATTAAATGAGGGTGGTGTGTTTCAGGGAGGAATGTGAGACTATGCAACCAGCCTTCAAGCACCCTCCTAGGTAAGGTTGCTGATCAGGGATTTTAGGAAAGAAGTGGTGTGAAAGCCAAACTGCTCCTGAAGCTGTGGTATTTCATTGTTAATCCTGAGTGTACTGGATATAAACCATACAATATTTGGCTAGTGTTAATAGGCTGCTTGTTTAATAGCAATATATTGTTATAGAAGCCCACTGCAATAACAGCAGGAATGTTCCTCTGGGACAACTATCCTAGAGAGCTCAAGCTACTTACTTCCTAAATGTTAGAGATAAACATACACTGGTAAGACAGAGGTGACAGTTACCAAGTATTGTGGGTATGGCATTTAGGAGAGAGTCCTAAATGTTTTATATTCTTCTCCCAACACATAAACATATACACAAATACAAGGAAATAGCAGTACTGGCAGTTGTAGAATGTTACTACTGGCAGTAATCACTTTTGAGAAATACATACAGAGGGCACAAATATAACAGTATATACATACAATGTTTAAAAATACTCTATTCCTAAAGTTTCCCCGTATTTTGTATCTGTTAAATGTTTCATAAATTCTTACTTGAAACTACAGACTTTCTGCTAAACTAAACCATTTTTTTTAGTGAGACTCATAATCATTTTCACAAATATTGCTCTAAATCTCCTGATATGTTTTAATTGGTATCACATGTTGAAGTGTCTTGATTACTGTGTAAACAATTGTGGAAGATATTTATATTTTCTGATATTCTATTATACAAAATAAGGACACCAAATCATCATAATATTGCAATGCTGGGAAAGCAAGAAGCAGCTATTATCTAGGACTTTCAGGCTGCTGGAATGTGTTTTCATTTTGCTCTGCATGGTAAGTGCAAATGTCCTTCCCATCAACTGCACTTACTGGAATTTGACAACCCTGAAACTGGGTTTTAGTATTTCAGATTGCACATTAATTTTGATCTTTAAAGACATGTTGTTATTCAAAGCTCCTGATACCAGGACAGGGCAGAGGTTAAGACCTCAAAAGATAGTCTCACTGAATACCCTATATTCCTTTAGAGTACAAAACCCAAAGCCAAAATCAAACACTGACCATTTCTTTTCTCCTATGTGTCTCACTCTGGAGAATCCAAAGACAGGGGTAAATAGTTTGTTTAATCCTCATTCCCAATGTTTGAGCTGCCTGAGAAGGCCACCAAGACAAATGATTTTTTTTTTTTTCCTGGGGGGGCATTTGTATTGGATCTGGATGACAACTGTGCCATGAATTTCTTATGGATTCTGGAACAAGTAATAGTGGTGAGTATAGCTAGCCAATGTGGCAAAATAAGCTAGGGTTTTTTCAAACTTTGAACTCCATTTTGTGTTATGTACTGAATGTGCAGAAACCAGCCCAAAGGTGGGAAGCTTCAAAGTATACCATAACATGCTTAGATGCCTGACACCTCCATGATGGACAGAAGGAATCCCTCAAGAATTCAATTCTTCTGGAATAATGAAACACGAATCTTTCTGAACAGCTGGCTCTGTCCATGGGCATCTCTGTCATCTTTTCAAAATCAGTGCAAATATATGTCATTCAACCTGGAAGCACTGCATGGTAAGATTAACCATTTTTCTTTCTTCAATACTTTCCAGATCTTGAATGTTCTTTAATCCAAAACTTTGATTTCTATTTGAACTTTGTGTACTTAAAAAAATCTAAATTGATGTTACAATAACTATACAGTTACTGCTCAGCATTGCTATGCAACATTTTAAAGTGCACGTAACTTAAGCATGAGCATCCTTTGAAAGACTAATTTAGAGTGGCTTGATAAGACTCTAGCCTCAGTGGTAACTGGGTGCCAGACACATGCCTTATACACCACTCTTACATGATTCACTGCAGTTATTGCAAAGTCCTCCACTTCCTATTTCTACAGGCAGAAGCAGCTGCCAGCTTTGTTTCAATCTCTGACAATGTACAAAGATACATTCAGCTGTTCATACAATATTCAGTTTGAACTGCCATTTTGCCTCCAGGTAGAGGAGTGTCCTGGAGCCAACCTTGTGTTGGCTGGCAGTGTCCTAAGAGCCAACCTTGGCCTTTGAGTCTCAGCTAAATCACTGTGTAACAGATGATCACAATAATATATGCCTTAGTATCTTTGAGTGACAAATCAGGCAGATAACATCATGTCCAAGCTGTGAACTGGAACATGAGTAGGTACAAATAGTATGGTGATCAATTTCCCAGTTCACAATGTTAAATATGGCATTTGGGCTTTGTCTATTATGGGAACAGGGGCTATTTGCAGAATTTAACTTCCTGAAGCTAAAGTTTGCTTGGATGTGAGACTGGACACTGTGTCATTTCTACTTAAAATCTTCCAAGTGAAGGTTAAGGGGTTCCTGTCTTCAGGGAGGTAAAAGTCACAGCTATATTCCTACCATTTACACAGATTGCTAATGCTGACTTATAAATCTCTCATGTTTATAATAGGTAATAGTAGTCCTGTGAACTTGCTTGAGCTTCCTGACTTGGCCTGAGTGACTGACACATTGATAATGTGCACAGTATGATGTGGAAGCAAGGATGAGAAAATGAATTGTTAAACTTTGGTTTAGCCCACGCACTGAAATCACTGCCATGCAAAAAAGTTTTGAGAAGCACAGGTAATTTCAGAAACAGTTTTTCAGTCTCCAATGAGGCTGAAGAAGTGGTGGACACTGGGGAAAAAAAGCAATCGTAATCTGTCACAGCTGGATATGGTAGATAGTTCTGCTACAGCATAGATGCTACTTCTTTCCATAACCAAACAAAACCCACTTGGGCCTCTGGCTGGGGCAACTGCTATAACAAACAGCATGAGTACTGCCCCACTTACTCTTAGGACAGGGAATACTTGTTTCAATCCCTAAGGCAAAAAGGACAAAAGTACTTGGATTTTTCCATGTGTGGTCAGAAACTGCTTCAAGGAAGGAAATATAATGTAGTTAAATGCACACTGCTGATGACACAAATCATTACGGAAACTTTCACTGAAGCCAGTTTTGGGTAAAGTAATAAATGAACTGCTAGTGTTTGTTACACACTGTGCTGTTAGCTATCTGGCAGACAAGAAGGGAAAGCAGCAGTAAAATTCAGAGAAAGCCAGGATAGGGGAGATGAGTTACAAACAGAGGAAAATAATTTAGGAGGTGGTTGTGGAAACAAGGTAAGGTATCTAGGAGCTGAAAAGAGTTTATAAAGTTTATAAACGGAGGCTGAAAAGCATTGAAGAGAGAACTCTAAATAAATGTTCTCACTAGATATCTAAACAAAAGAAAATTGCTGGACCTTAAATAAAAGTGCTAAATGCTGGCCTAGAGGCATGGTCAGGCCAGTGATTAGTTGCCTTGGATATTTGGTAGCCTATCCAAAAATGAGACATGCTGGTATTAGGTAAAAAAATTTCCACAGTGATCTACCTGTGGTATTCAGCATTCATAGCTGCGTTAGGATCAGCTGAATTAATCTTACTTTGTTTAGGGATTCTTTATGTGTCTGGTAAAGCGACATTTTGCTGTACAGACGTGGTGTTTATGAGCACTCATGGATGCCCCTGGAGTCTTGTTTTGCTGAGCTTGTCTGTGAGCACGCCAGCACCCTATGAAACAGTAGCGATATTTATGCCAGCACTCACGATGACACCACATATGTTTGGGGGGATTGGTGGGGTTTTGTGCATGTGTGTGTGTGAAACGCAGAGTTCACCCAGAACCACACACACTGAGAAAGGCTTCAAAGGCACTAAGAAAAACTGGGGACCACTGAGGGCCAGCAGAAGCAGACAGCCTGCTCCTGCCCGTGCTGCCCTGATGGGGAGGCTGACTCCGACGAGCAGAGAACATCTTGCTCCTCACCTCGTTGCCTGCCCAGCCCCTTAGCAGAAGGATTTGAGGGCCACGAGGATGACCAGGGACTGGAGCACCTCCCGTATGAAGACAGTTGGGGCTGTTCAGCCTGGAGAAGAGAAGCTGTATGGAGATCCCAGAGCTGCTTCCAGTATCTGAAGGGGGCCTACAAGGATGCTGGAAAGGGCCTCTTCATGAGGGACTGTAGCAACAGGACAAGGAGTGATGGGTTTAAAGTGAAACGGGAAGTTCAGGTTGGATATAAGGAAGAAGTTCTTTACCATGAGGGTTGGTGAGGCCCTGGCACGGGGTGCCCAGAGAAGCTGTGGCTGCCCCATCCCTGGCAGTGTTTAAGGCCAGGATGGACGGGGCTTGGAGCAACCTGGTCTACTGTGAGGTGCCCCTGCCCGTGGCAAGGGGTTGCAAATGGATGATCGTAAGGGCCTTTCCAACCCAAACCATTCCGTCATCTATGCTGTCGCGTCGCCGCTGGAGCAGCAGCACTCCCTTCCCTCGCCTCACGAGCGGCTGCGCCAGGGCAGCAGCCCCGGCCCGGCCCCTGACACCCAGCTCGGTTCTGAGGGGAACGACTCCCCCGCCCCCATCTCGCGATTCCCCCCCCCGTGAGGGCAGAGCGGCGGGGCTACCAAACCCAACCCCTCACTCGTCCGCGGTAACGGGAGCCCCCCAACACCTCTTTCCCTCAGCTACTGTGGCTGCTGGTGCACCCGGAGCCCCGACACTACCACACCGGGGGGGGGTGCTGGAGGGGAAGCGAAGCACGACGGGCGGGGAGGGGCGGCCCTGGCGGGGTGCCCCGGCCGGTGGGCGGTGCCGGGCGGTGAGAGGCAGGGGGTGCTTCGCCCGCCCGCCCCGGCCCCCCTCCCCGGGTGTATATAGCGGCGGCGCGGGGAAGCTCCTCCGGCCGGCAAGATGGCGGCCGCCGTCTGCGAGAAGTCCCTGCTGCCGCCGAAGCTGCCGCAGCTGCTGGAGCGGGACCCTTACCTGGCCCCCTTCGAGACGGACTTCCAGCGCAGGTACCGGCCCGGCCTACCGGCATAGGCCCGCGCCGCGGGGAGGGGAAGGGAGCGCCGCCTCAGCAGGGCGAGGAGCGGCGGGCGAGCAGGCGGCGACCGCCCGCCTCTGGGGGCGTCGGGGCGGGCGGGGGGAGCGACGGGGCGGGTGGTGTCCCCTCCTCCTCTTTCTTTTCCCCTCCCCATCGCGGCGGGGGCTGTCCCTCAGCCAGTGCCGGGGCGGTTTCGCTCCGGGCCGCGGCGGCGGAGCGGGACTGCGGTGGGGTTTAACGCTGGTCGATACGGCGGAGGTGCCTTCACTGGCGGGGCCTCCTGAGCCTAGTGGGGCGCGCCGTCGCGGGGAGGCCTCCAGGGCGGGTCTCTCGGCCGGCCTCTAGCGCTGTGTGCGGCCGGGCCGTCTCTGTCTGCCCCGACCCGACCCCGGCGGCGGGGGTGAGGGGTCGATGACACCCGTTTATGGGCCGGCCTGGCGCTGGGAGCGACGAGGGGAGTTGGTGACAACGGACAGCCGAGCTGTCCTCGCCAAAAAATAATGCTTTTAGTCCAGCTGTGGTAGACTGTAAATAAACTGCTCCTGAGTCTTCTCTTTCTGGAGAATTTTCCTTTACATACGTTGTCCTGCATCCTCGGTTCGTCAGATGCTCGATCGATGAAATCGCAGAGCGAGCGCTGTGTTGCTTTGGGGTTGCCAGTCTGAGCATCCCGTTATTGTTTTGCCCTCTCGCAGGGAACAGCGGCATCAGCCCTCTGGCCAGGACGGGCAGCGGGTCTGGGTGAGAGCCGGCCAGCAGGCAGAGGCGAGCTGCGTCCTGCAGAGCCAAAGGCTGCTATAAAGCCTCGCTGGCCCATTGAAAATAGGAACTGGAAGTTTTATGGTGCAGCTTCTTGTATGTTGTATTTCACTAGTGGTTTAATCAAAACTGTAGAACTGACCAATACCCTATATTCCAAAAGTCTGTGTATGTGGGAGGGGAAATAGGAGGTCATTTGGATTTTTTAATAATTATTCGGCTTTTTTGGCTTTGCTGTATTACACATATGTTGCTTTTGGCTTAACATTACTGGTTGTCCTGTTGAGATCTGGCAGAGAATAGTGGCGGGGCTAGACCTTGTAAAATGGGATTTAGAATGGAGTAAACAACTAGGCTGATTTACAGAGTATTTTCCCAAACTGTGATCTCTTAATGACAGAATAACTGTGTTAAACAGTGAATTTTGACAAGCTTGTGGTAATGTATGCAGTGTTGTAAACCACCTAATTCTTTTGGTGGGGTGCCAGGGTGTAGGAAGTATAAAGTGGGTGGATCCTGGCTCTTAATAAAGCCATTCAGTAAAACATTCGGGATTCCCAAATGTGCCTGCTATCTAAATAGGCACATTGTGAATAATGGTGTCTGTATTGCTGTGGATAATATGCTCTGCTGAACTCAGTGAGTCTGTAGAATTTTTGTGTACGTCTTGGGCTCAATCATCTTGAGCACAGGACTTCAGATGGTCGTGTTTGCGTCTTGCTTCTTCCTGGCTTTTGAACCTCAAACTGGTCACTTAGCATAGAATTATTGTGGAAACATGTAGAGTAATAATTAGCTTAGAAGACTAAAGGAAAATTTTTGTGATAACCTGAATGTCTCATTCTAAGCCCAAATGACAAGTATGTTCTGTCTTTCATCCTGTGGATGACAGAGTGCCAAGGAGGAAAAGTGCAAGCACAGGGAAATACCTGTTGGTGTCTTGATGCAGTGCTCATCACAGCTTCCGTGGTCTGTGATTCAGTCTGCAATAGCTCCAGGTGCATGTTTGTGTCTGGAGGTCTTGCATCAAGAGTGTCCAGAAGAAAGCAGTTTTGCAGCCTAATTGCTGCTTGTGTGAAGAACAAGTTCCTCTGGGGCCTCCAGTATGTGGGTTTCACTTTTCTCCAGTTCTGGTACTGGAGGAGGTGGGGAACAGCCCTGCACAATTCTGTTCACTGTGTCATGAGCAGTGTAGAGCTGCATGATCTTTGTTCTGGGGTGAAGAATTCTGATGTGTTTAACTGGTCATTGTATGAAGAATTCTGATGTGTTTAACTGGGCATTGTATAAAGGTGGTCCACATGACTGATCCTTTGCTGTGTGTTGTGTTTTTCCTGGCCCCCTTTGGGTGGGAGTTAGAACTGAGTACAGTCAGAGCTGAATACTGTGTATTAATGCAACTACTAATGATACGGCACTTGCATAACTTCAAGTGTAAAGCAAAATAAACCTGGCAAGCTGTCTAGAAGCAGAAATGTATTTAAATGTGTTTACCTTTGAAGTTCTAAGCAAATGCGCAGAGTAAATTTGTGCATATTAATCTTAAATCCTACTGACAGTAAGTTCTGGTGCCTCTGGAAAGGTAGCAATTATTTTAAATGGTGGCCTGTCATTAAGTAACCCAGTGGATCAGTTGTATCCCACACATGGTGTAGGAAAGGCTGTGACAAAGCATTCAGGAATATGTGCTGAAAAGCAAATCTGCTTATTAGGAGTTGATCAACTGTCAACTGCTTGCCATGGCCTCATCATAGGTAGGACTGGAGGAGTAATTCTTTATATGCCTGGGTATTAGCAATTCATTTACTCCTGTAGAGTAGAAAATCTGGGTAGACATAATACCACTCAACTTCTGAACAAGTAACAATCTGTCCATTATTCCTTCTGATACTACTGGTTGGCTTTCTTTAACTTTGCTTCTGATACACTTGTCCAGTGGCATGTTTTGCCACTTGAATATTGTTTAAAGAACAAAGATGCAGGTAGTCTGTCAGTTCAGATGGCTGTGTTGTTCCAGAGGGAGGGGACAGGAGGCAGCTGTAGTGCTTGGCACCCTGTAGCACCAAAAGTGTTTTACTTGCTCAGAGTAGGAAGCTTTGGGAAAGAAGTGAATCAGACTTGATGAAATATAATATATGTGGATACTTTTCCTGTAGTAGTCTAAATGTCTTCTGATTTTGCAGCGATATTGACCTTACTTAATATTAAACAAAATAATTAAGAACTGATGGGAATTTTGTAGCTGTTGACTGTCATACTGTGTTTTGCCTAGAGAAATAAAAATCAGGGATTTTGATAGAAGGGTAAGGATGCTTGAGAAACAAAGCTTTTTAAACATTTGTCTGTGGAGATCCTTATACTGTGCCTTGTGCAGAGTCATTTAAAAATAGTGTTCCCTTTGTCTCAGTATGTTCTTCCTTCAGAAGGGAGGACAGATAAAAAATTTAAGGTCTATTCTTGGTGGTGACATCAGCAAGTTGTTGACTCACCTTTTGGGCTTGAGTCTGTCTGCTGTTTTATCCATAACACCATATTAGCACGGGCAGATTATTGCTAGTGGAAAGTGTTATAACTGTTGTTTTATGACTGTTGTAGGATGAACAGTTAACCTGATTATGATGGCTTATTTACATATTTAAAACAGGGCTATTTCTGGTGTTGGATTGGGTTTCCCAGGACCTTGTTGGGTTGTGCTGAGTCTCTGAGGATGTACTTCCACAGCCTCGTTGGGCAGCCTCTCCCTATGTTTGGCTCCCCTCATTGTGAAAATCTTAATTTTAATACTGTAGTTTCCTTTCCTGCAGCTTCATCCATTGTCTCTGGTATTTATTTATTTATTTTTTTCTGGGTACCTTGCAGGAGAGCTTGGGCTTATTCTTTGTTATGGGCACACTCGCCACCTGCCTTTAGATAGCTTAAGACTGGAAGTAGATATTGGGAGCCTCATGCCTCTTCACATTAGCTTTTTCATATCCAGTCTCAAGAAACTTAGCTCTCTCAGTCCCTACCTGCGTGCCATAGGTAGTAGAGCAGAGACCGGAAACAAGAAGCTGCCTTTCTACAGTGGCCTTAGCTTGTCCTTGCTTGCCAATGCCTTGAGCAAGTGCAGAATGATCTTGCTGGAGTTCACATCCACCTCTCCTACCCTTTGGATGCTTTGATGGAAACAAACTGCTTCTTTAAAGAAGCAATGTTTAAAATGCAATGCTAGGACCTAGATAAGTCCGAAGCATGGAGTGTATGGGCTGCCATAGTTACATGAGTGGCTATTGGGAAGAAGGAGACACTTGGTTGCATTTACTCTTCAGTTCTTTGTCATGCATGGGCATATTATTGCAAATGGTGTTCATGGGGGAAAACGGACATCTGTAATTTTGCCTTTCTCTGAATGCGTGAATTTGACGCTGAGCTGGAGTGGGAGGGTGGGGAGTAGGGGTAGGAGGAAGGGAAGGTGAGGTGGGGAGAAATCCTTTCAGTGTATATATAGTGAACCATTCAGCCTTGACCCAAACACACACTATTTGGCACTTGAAACAAGAATCTCCGTAAAAAAAACAAACGACCAACCAAAACAAACCAACAACAACCAACCAAAAAAACCACAACCTGTCAAAGTGATAGTGTTTGAATAGTTGTCCTGGTTTTAGCTGTAACAGGGTTTTTTTTTTAACTTCCTAGTAACTGGTGCAGTGCTGTGTTTTGGCTTTAGTTGAAAATAATGCTGATAACTCACTGATGTTCTAGTTGTTGCTCAGTAGCACTTAACCCTGATCAAGGACTTTCCAGTCTCATGCCAGTTTCAGTGAGGAGGGGCACGGGAAGCCGGGAGGAAGCAGAGACAGGACACCTGACCCAAACTAGCCAAAGGGGTATTCCATGCCACAGCACATCATGCCCAGTATAGAAACTGGGGGTAGTGACCGAGAAGGGACCAGTCACTGTTTTGGTCAGGCTGGGTATTGGTGGATGGTGAGCAGTTGCATTGGGCATCACTTGTGTTTTGAGATCTTTCATTTCTTCTCATGTTTTTCCTACTGTTATTGTTGGTATTCTTTCTATTAGCACTATATTTTAGCTATAAAGTTGTTCTTATCTCAACCCCTGGGGTTTACATTCTTTCTTTCTGCTTGGGGGAAGGGGGGGGAAGGTGTGGGTGAGTGAGCTGCTGCATGGTGCTGAGTTACTGGCTGGGGTTAAACCACAACAATGGGA